AAAAAAACAAACGTAACAGTTGTAATTTCTGGCTTGTTTTGTGTTGAAATGCAAAACAAATAAATTTTGCTCACAATGAGCGTCTGGGAAAGCGTCTGATTGTGTGCAGACGGCCATTCTGGCGAGATTTGATCTATCTGAGCGATTCACTGAGCCGGCTTCTTGTTTAGACAGCAAAGTAGCCTGCATCGTATTTGTCTACGATGCGGTCTTCTCGGAGCTAACTACTTTGCCGGCTACGTGAAAATTGAAACGAGACTTAAGATGGCCACCGTCCATTTAGCTCATTTAGCCGTACCCTAGCCATGTACGGTGAGAAGTTCACAGTTTTCCTCCGTGGAACACAGCCTATGATGGACCCCACACAGATTGGCCCGTGGATTGGCTTCAATTCTTTTACAAACTTGACTACAATTAGAGTGTACTAGAACTTTTGAGTGGCGCGACCGAAACGCTTTCCTCTTGCTTTCTCCATCCCCAACTTGTGGCGAAAGTAGCGGCGGCGCTGCCGTCGCCCAATCTACCACAGAACACGGAGGAAGAAAAAGGTAAGGAGAGGCCCTGACGTCACTCGTTGTGAAGCCGCGATGAAGCCGGAAGTCGGCCATATTGAATAGGCAAGTTCTCCTCTCTTGTTTACATATGAATGCGAAGCAGAAGGCGCGACTCCCGCTCCGGCTCGGAAAGCACGTGGGCTGCGCAGCGCGTGTGTCGTGACGATCCGAAACTAATGGAACTGGGCTCATCACTCAGAGCCAGCGGGACACCTTCAGCGAAATCGCTTCGTCCGAGTAATAACAAAGAGTAACAGCTCGGTGACAACGAAGCAACTACGAAAGAACGCGCGCTAGATGCACTGACAACGGCGAGTGCTTTCACGTGATTCAGCAACTGTACAGACAACACGATTGGTCGTGCGCCTTCTACGGTTGCATTCCGCCACGCGACTGACGCAGCGTCCTGCCACTGTGTCCGTGTTCCGCGTGAAACTCTCCTGCGTCAGCATTCTGCGACCGTGGTGACTTTGAGCACGGTGCTAGTGACAGTTGAACGCGGTTGCTGTTACGTTGAGATTACATGCAATGCTGGTGGAGAGTGTACCAAGCGGAACAGAAAGGTGTTTTAATACGCAGATGCAAGTTGTTACTGTACACACACAACACGAAACTACGTATGTGCACACGGTGCTCAAGGCGTCTTGCTGGGCTCAACAGCGTCGTCCGTTGTCACAAGAAGGAGCACTGCTCAACCGTCACTGACCTGCAAGGCGTTCGTCGTCATTCAGCTTCGTCATGGTGCCCAACGCCATTTCGCTGAACACTAACTGCTTCATCCTCGTCATCCGCCGCACGACACATGGATATGCACTTGTTCTACGCACTGTTGAAACCCCGTGATGGACAAAGAGATTTGTAAACGTTGCTAAGAGTAATGTAACAGCCAGACTAACACTGCGTAACCAATAACGCGGCGCAGAGCACAGATATTGTCCGCCACGGCTCAGCACGAGACCTGAGGAGGCACACATTCCGCCGCCAGCCGCGGCCGCTCACTGCTAGACCAGCTTCACTGCGCAACACGTAACCATAACAACGCCGCCATTGTGCCTACTGAATATGGCCGCCATGATGTCATTTTTGCCACATTTTTTACGCCCTGCGCCGGCTGGGTATGCCCTCTCCTTACCTTTTTCCTTCCTCCGTGTGTGGTATGCTCGGCGGCATGGCCGGCATCTCGGTTTTAGTCGCGAAATGACGAAGAAGTAGCGTCTAAACGATTGTTACGCGCCAGGTTGCACAGTTTTAGTAGCCCCATTACAAAAGCTAGGAATACAAGTAAATCTACCAGTAATTTTATCAATTGGCGGAACATCATTTGGTTACTGCCACAGGGATGTATGCTCCGCTGTGTTTGATTACATCAACGCAACTAAAAGATTACCATGCTAGTGATCCCCTACCTTTTCAGATCTTTAGTTTATAATTCGTAGTTATGTCTTTCAGAAACAAAAGATGGTTTGACCGCTTGCTCAGCAAACATTTTTGTTTTTGGTAGTATTATTTTAAGCTACTTTTTCAGATTGGCTTCATTTTCATTTTAGTTTCATTTAAGTATCCTGCCGCCCGGTTCTTGGCCCATCCCCCTTTGTGGGTAAGCGCCATTCATCAGAGGTCATCAGCATCAGGTTGCACAACTGGATATCCGCGTGTGAAACAAAGTCGGAAGTATCACTTTTTAAGGCCCCGAAAGACGAAGAACGACGACTTCTTTGGGAGCGGAACCTCCATCGGCTTGACAAGCCAGCTTGACGCCGATTGTGCTGTGTGCGAGTTACATTTCGAACCGCATTTCATTGTGAGAGACTACGTACATGTTATCAATGGTGTTCAAGTCCGAATTCCTAGGGGAGCGCCGACACTCACCCCATGATGCAGTCCCGACGATCTTGCCCAACCTGCCTGCATATTTGACGCTCAAAACTCCGGCTCCGTGGACCCAAACAAAGCGGCGTCATCAGTGTGTGCCGGCTGAGAATGACAACAGAAAACAGCGACGCATTAGCACTCCTGCACAGCTTTTTGTGGATACCAACGGTGCAACTTCTGCAGATGGCGACGAAGCTGACGAGGCAAGCTCAAGTCCCTCGTCTGACGCGGTTGTCACTCTCGGTGACCTTCGTGATCTTGTCCTACCATCAAAGTCATGGGCGCTGCACGAGTTCCTGGATTTGCTGGCGTGTTGTACGTAGCGTGCTCACTGAATCCTAGCACTCGTGAACTTTGCATTCAACGAGCCGTATACTTCACCTGTGCAGACAATGGAATCGTGCAATGTGAAGCGTTCGTGCAAGAGAAACTAATCAGCAAGTCCAATTTAGTAACTGTTCGAGAAGCCTCAGATGCTCTGCAGCTTGTTGCAAGCGTCCCACTCTGTTGTAGAGCAGCAGAAACTTCATTTTTGCCACCATCGGACCTTATCCCACGGTCTACACGCGCAAATGAAGTCAAGATGAAAAATCTTCTACAGTGTCAAAAGCGCACAGAAGCACCTAAAATTGAGTAGGCTATAAATTGCTACAGTGGCGTAAAAAGGAAGTCATTTTTCGTGCATATTTTCTTACACTCTTAATTTTTTGACGGTACACCAAGAAGAAAAAACGATTTTTCCTAGAAGAGGCTTTTAAGCGAGAGAACGTGCAAATAATGACGCGAATCTCAAAATAAATCTTTGATCTTGAATCTTTTTGTATTAAACCTGTGATGGTAAATTTAGCAGCATTAGGTATCTCGGTGCATATTTCATCGATCTAAGCCAATTCATTGTTGCACTTCAGTGTCCCTTCAAACGATCTTTCGACCATAACATCTTTTTTTTTAAAATGCATTTTGGAAAGACAACCTTAACACTGTCATTCTGTTTGCTTTGCTTTACGTTATCTTTTGTATCCTTGGCTTTATATATTACGTTTTTTACAATTTACCTAATTGCAAATGTATGGTTTCATAAATATGTAAACCTTGCATTTTTATGTTATCAATTATGATTAACATTAGTTACGACTCTGCTTTGCAGTGTTGCGTTTTTTACACTCTCAAAATCTTCCACTACTATGTTTCACCTAAGACATTCTTTTGCAGTATTACATATTTGCATTTCTGTGGGTCCTACAACAATGAATCTATTCCCATATTTTAAAACCAAAAGAATGTTTGGAAAAACTCTGCCGTTCTTCAAATATTATCAATAAAGCCTACTTTTTTGTCTTGTGTGCACGCAGCCACGAGCAATGAGCCTTTTATTTGAGTCCAGCTTTGGTGTTTTACGTGGAATCGACCAAGAGTTCTTCGTTTTGTGTGCAGCATATTCCTTTTCTTTTTTTTTGGGGGGGGGGGGGGGCGCTTCTGGTGTGTACCGGCCAGCTGGTTTCTCGTATAAAATATGTACACTTTAAAAATTAAAAAAAAAATCGCGCTCGTTATATTGTACAATGTATTATGCTGCTTCGGGCTGCAGTGCGGTCAGTAGCAACTTCAATAACAATAATGTCAAATAACCTTTATTTGCGCGGAAAAGGGGAGGTATGTGAATAAGAAAAAAAAAAAAAAAGAGGGAGATCATCTTCATACTTGGCGCGACAGAGAGGTACCAACACGTACGCGGAACGCCTGTCAGCCATCCGCCCAGGAAGATTGACCGACGCCAGCGCCACCGCATCATTTCCACGCCGAAACGGCCGCTCCCAGGCAGCTGCTCGCGCCACTCAAAAGCTTCTAGTACACTCTACTACAATGTACTAAAACAACTTTTTTTTTTGTAAACTTTTATTGACCAATCAACAACGTAGTTTTTGGCGCACGTGACAAAATGTCGGCCAATCAGACACTCTCGCGGCCATGACCTACTACACTCCTGACCTGCCCAGAGAGCACCTCTTCCAGCGCCCACGTTCTAGTTCATACCTTCTGCCGCTAGGGCCGTCACCTACGAGCGGCGTGGCGCTAGGCAGCACCTGTTCGCTGACGTCACCTTCACTCTTTGTAGTCAAATTTTAACCAACAAAGCACTCGTAGTGCGAATTTATGATCCACAATTTAGAAATATCCAGAAATAATAATACTAAAAGACATTCAGAATTTTTTTTGCAATAAAATGCACGCGACAACGCATAGGCTGTCCAAAATCATGTAAATCCACGGGTTTCCACGTTTGTCAACCAGTGTGCTATAAATTCTTAAGCGCACTGAACAGCTTACTTGACCAGCAATGTATGGGAAGAAATAGTCACATATATGCCGACAGTTCACCACAGAAAGCAGGCATTCTTATACCAGCGCCTACAAAACAACCGTAAAGAAGCAGACGAACAGGTTATAGGTAGCGCCACCTACGGCGAGCGATTGAACGAGAGCGGGGACACGCGCTCCCATAGGAACCCCGCTATCTGAACAGGTCAGGAGTGTAGTAGGTCATGCTCGCGGCAACCGTTGTATTGTTCACGTGTCGACGCCCGCGGTGTTCTGTGGCCCGCGGCGCTTGTGCATTGGCTCGTGTGTTCCTGCATCGCGCGTTTGATTTAATCCGATTGAAAGGCGTTTCGTTAATAGACGCCGTTCGTTTTTCCGTTAACCCTGCCAGTGCGTGTTCTCCGAAGTGTACAGTCACTTCTTTTGCAAGCTTTTGCCATGAATCGTACCGATTTCGACTTGGCGTAAGTATAGTAAGCCCCGCTCTAGGCGTCGTGTTTGGTTTTGCACGCTATGCCTGATGTCTTGTGTACTTTCAGGTTCAGCTGCCCGGTCTGTCTGGGGCCGAGTGAGAACATGATATTCGGCATGTGCCAGCACTTCGTGTGCGCTTCCTGTCTGTACGAGCCGGTCAGCGAAAGTTTGAAGCCTGCGTTCTATTGTTGTCCCCTCTGCAAAGCCGAGGACGTGTTCCCAAATTACTGGTAATTGATTGCGGTAACTTTGGATAGGCTAGTTTCCGCCCACTAATAGCTAAAATAGTCCGACGTCTCAATTGCGTTAACCTGAGTTTTGTTTTCATGCAGCCCCGAAATTCCGCTGACCACTAAGCTGCTGATGAACATTGTTGGCGTCGTGGAGTGCCCTCGGAAACGGTGCGGCGAAGAAATGTGGACTTGGGAGGTGGAAGAACACCAAGGGTACGTCGTACTTTAGATGCGACAGTTTGCTAGATAGCGTGTTGCTTATGCACGCTACAGTTACGTTGTCATTTGCCCAAATGTGGACGTGTTGTGTGCCTTCGCTTTTCATTCACCGGGCGTCCCGTGCCTGCAGACTTTTCAGATGCGACTCTTGCCACTGCGTGGTAAGCATCGGGGAAGAGAGAATTCCGATGCGCAAAGCAGGCATAATGCGAAACGCGGGGAAATCGTAGTACGGAGAGGTTCTTCTTGGCCATGACCTACTACACTCCTGACCTGCCCAGAGAGCACCTCTTCCAGCGCCCACGTTCTAGTTCATACCTTCTGCCGCTAGGGCCGTCACCTACGAGCGGCGTGGCGCTAGGCAGCACCTGTTCGCTGACGTCACCTTCACTCTTTGTAGTCAAATTTTAACCAACAAAGCACTCGTAGTGCGAATTTATGATCCACAATTTAGAAATATCCAGAAATAATAATACTAAAAGACATTCAGAATTTTTTTTGCAATAAAATGCACGCGACAACGCATAGGCTGTCCAAAATCATGTAAATCCACGGGTTTCCACGTTTGTCAACCAGTGTGCTATAAATTCTTAAGCGCACTGAACAGCTTACTTGACCAGCAATGTATGGGAAGAAATAGTCACATATATGCCGACAGTTCACCACAGAAAGCAGGCATTCTTATACCAGCGCCTACAAAACAACCGTAAAGAAGCAGACGAACAGGTTATAGGTAGCGCCACCTACGGCGAGCGATTGAACGAGAGCGGGGACACGCGCTCCCATAGGAACCCCGCTATCTGAACAGGTCAGGAGTGTAGTAGGTCATGTTCTTGGCGTTGCATAAACTGTTGCCGGACTGCCGCCATATTTGGCAGAGACATTTGCCCCTGACGTTGTGACTTCTTCGTGAGGGTTTTTTGTCGTCCGCGGTGCATTTCGCAAGTGTTAGCGACGTTGGCTGTTTTAATTAACGGAATGAACGTAAAACGAGCCTTGCAGAAGTCGGGTGACAACCACCCCAAAGTATGGCAACTGAGATGTGCAACACCAAACAGAACCTTGCCAGTGCAAGAACAGTCGTGTTTTGTCGTGAGCTTTTGAAGGGGTACTCTGAAATTGCGTGATGGAGTCCAAGCAGGGAAAGATACCTTTTGCAAACCAATCCTGCACATTTGTATGTACACTGCAACTAATCGTTCCTGAAGCACGAGTTCTGTGTTCGCTTTCATGTTTCTCCTGGCTGTAGTTGGACGTTGAAGAATGCGCAGTTGCCCGCTCTGGCGTGCCTCGTAATGTTATTGCGGTTTTGGTGTGTGAAACCCCAGATTATAACTTTTTTGTCGGGGCATTGTGCGTTCAGCTCGTTGTGGGCAAGGTATTTTACATTAGCGGTATGTCCTGTCTAAAAAATAGTGTCCTTTCCGTGTGTTTGTTACAGCCAGGCCTTTCCGCATCTCTGAAACGACAGCGGCGTGTCAATGAAATGTTTTATAAATGTGAATTCTCGCAGCCCGTCACTGCGATGTTCCTCATAATCGTGGTATGGATTTGGGACATGAAACCACGGCATCTGTGATCTTCTCCTGTGTCTGCACACTTGTCCTCTTTCACAATAAATCTCTACATACTGACTAAACAAATCAGTTGACACTTGCAATACGGTGTTTTAACAGGGGAAAGCTACGAAAAGCACAGGTAAAACAAGAGACACTTTTTGTGTTCTTCGTTGCATTCAAACAAAGAGTCGCAAGTGTCAATTATGCACAACCAACTAGCTTCTACTCTGGCTCTTCTGGCTAGGCTTAATTAAGTTGATTGATTATAGTGTGGCCAAACCAAAAGGGCACTGGTTGCCATGGTCCATGCAGGTCTTGCGTGGGCATCGGAAGACGGTCGTCGGCCCGTTGCTCTCGCTCCACAGCAAGTGGCCGCACTGGCCAGAGAGTCGCCACCCGCCAGAGCAAGCGGCAGAGGAGCAAGAGTCCTGTTGAACTCAAGAAGTGAACGTGGCACTGCACCTTCCTTGCTTCAAAATTCTTTACAGGTAGCAGCGTCCGAGGAAAGTTTTCAAGTTTGAAGTTTTTAACCTCTTACACTACTAGCGTCTTCTTTTGTGGACATGACTTCATAAGGGGCACACTGCATCTGAAAACTTTTTAAAAATTTCTTTATCAATTTAAATGAATTTAGTGAAATTATGTATATTCGTGTTTTTAAATTTCAGGCGGGGTTTTCAGCGGCAGTTTGCCTTAACTGAGAGAATTAGAATAGAATTAAGTACATCATAATGACCTGGAGTGAGTACAAATGCAAAAAAACAAGAATTGATAATCTTAAGCCCATATAAACAAAAGTTGTGGTATGTTGAGCTAACTCTATTGTCAAATCATCGTTAATAGAGCTCTCAGAAAAGAATATACCAGTTTTAAGCTGACTGTTTAGTTTATGTTAATGCACGAAAGCTTTGTCACCTGAGACTGTCACAATTACTCAATTTCAGGTTCCTCTGCAGAAACATACCTGGCGAGGGAGCAAGAAAGGGGCAAGGTCTTTTCGGTCTTTTCTTAAAAAATAATGAGCCAGTATTTTTATTTCATGTGTATGTACGATTTTTTGTTGTGGCAATAAATGTTTTCTGCTAAACTGTCTCCCTTATTCAATTTTATTTCGAGGCTATTGTATCTTGCATTAGTAAAGCACGCTATCAATTGAATGCACAATGTGAAACATTGTTTGCATCCTGAACGATTGTGATGTATTAAAAAAAGTGCGGTAGTATGTGTTTTATGCATTGCAGTTCATCTTACGTCAATTTGGTTTCATTTCAAAACGAGACTTTTTGCATAATAATGTACTCGCAATAATTTTTGTGCCAAAATGAATAATATGCCAAACCTTAGGGCTTTTAAATGGTTATGATGTACCATGAACACGGATTTTTTTACCAATAGTAGTTCGTGTTTCTCTTGATTTTATCCTAGAACTGGCATCTTTCATTTTGTATGCTTGGTTTGTGCTACAATTTTAGGCAGTTAGTGCACCCAACATATTCAAGGTTGTGATTGGTCATTGATGAACGACCAGAATATTTTTTTTATTTTATTGGAAAACAGTTTTAATTGATAAGGGAAAATTGTTTCTGAATAAATGCACGGCACGCAATATCCTGTTTTACGAACGATGATGTACAGACTGAAATCTTAGACAATGTTTTTGTGTCGCATCCTTTTGTGCGCATTTCTATTTTTAAAATCTTGCAATGCATACTATTAACACCCCAACAAAAGTATTTATAGTGATAGTTGTTTGTGTGCATTTAGTTATCACTGTTCAAGACAGAAACAACTTATGTTAAAACAAACTGCTGTGTTTATCCTTTTGAATCACAGTTCGTGTATTTTCATCCTAAAGGACTCTTTTAAACATTAGGCATTTTTTATTTTCTGAATACTTAATGAAATACGATTGTCTTCTGTTTTTAACAGTATTTTATCTTTCAAGATTTAAACAGCGGCAATCATAAAAGTAAAAGATAAGCCGTGTGTCGGTGATAGTTTTACAAGGCAGTTTTCCAAATATTTCAATTCTGGAGTGAGCATTTCTAGTACTGTGCTGGCCCGTGCCAATACGAATCGTGCCAATATTGACCATGTGTTACAGGCAGCAGTAGCTCATTTGTAAGCACGTGCACACACACAGGTAACACGACGAGCAACATCAAATCGACCAATCGGAAGTCCCTAGGCTTTTGCTCGACCAATCACAGCATCAATGTGCAGCGCATCAGAGATTCAAATTTTCGGTGTCGCGCAAAAGCCCGAAAAGCCGGAAGTGGAGGAGGGATTGTTTCTTGGAATTTGTGGCGTGCTGGCGGCACGTAGCGCTGCCACGTGTGCAGTTGTTGATCGTGAGGGCATGCTGCACACGATGCATGTTTTTACTTGAAATGTTTGAAAAAAAAAAAAAAAAATGCCAGGCCTGCGCGGAAGGCGCAGCACAGTCACAGTGAAAGCTAGAAGAGCAGCCTTTCGGAGCCTTTTCGAAACGCTCATTGGGTAAATGCTCAAAGCACACTTGCTTGATGCCCACTAAGGCGTAAATAGTGAAAAATGTAGAGTTGTAAGCCGGCATTCTCTATGCTGCTTTCTCGTATTCTTCTGTCAAAAGTGGTATCCGCTAAACTATTGCGAGGAATTTTGTGCCAATTGTTCATGCAGTGGCTGATTACGATTAGAAATTATGCCTCTAGTGGCTGTGCGCCATAGTTAGTAGCTGAACAAAAACAAGCTTTGGTAATAAGTTGGAGGTTGCACGACCCACTTGTTACGCTACTCGCATTGTGCAATGACTGCTTGTTCTTTTGTGGCTTTAAAATGCTTTATAATCGAGTCGTATTAACGGTTTGGTTTGATTTTGCAAAATGTTGTGATCACTCTCGATAAGTTTGCGAGAAGCAACAAAAACAAAGAGCTCCCAGTTTGAATTAGCTGTTGTGGATACTAATGTGCTCAAATTGTCGAGAGATTTCCCCCCATAGAAATACACAAGGTTCACAGCTTTTACTTAACAGAGTTCAAATAACAACCTCTTTACTGTGGATATTTTTAGGGGCGAAGGTCCTTAGAGCGGCACCCATTTGTCCCTCGTAGCCGTTGTAGTATGTAACAAGTATAACACTTTGACCTTCCAAGGTGGTGCCGGATGAAAGACTTCTTCTGTGCGTTGTTGAGCAATAAAAAATAGTGCTCAACTGTACATGCAAATGGCTGCTAATGGGGAATGAGAGACAGGGAGCATTCGGCTTTTAGTTAACGTGCATGCTGCGATCCCCATTAGCAGCCATTGGCATGTACATTGAGCACTATTTGACAAGAAAGGGTTGCTACGTTATACTCCCTGGGTGTAACCTCCTTAGTTTTAGAAAGGTTTAGCGAGCGTTGAGTCCGCAGTGCCATGAATACAATGAACTAGTATATACCATGAACTCGAGGTGGTTAAAGGTGGGAAGTAGATACGAAGCGCAAGCCGTAAGAAAGTTTGCAAGTGCCACCTCTCGATAAGTCCTTGGAATGTCCGTTGGATGGCGGTGCTTCTATATGGAGAATATATGATGAAAAGTTGCGAGATGGTGGTACTTGGAGTGTTGAATAGATGGACAACACACAGACAGATGCATGGATGACGCATGAACGGACGCAGGGGCGGATGGACGCATGGACTGTCACACAGAAGGGCGCATGGACGGACAGAAGCAAGAACGAATGGACGGACGAATGCTTCCCCACTCTCCATCATTCACTCCGTGGATATGCTGCCAATTTTTTTTTATGTAAAAGACCTGACACGTGTCAAGACATTGGTATATTAATTTTTAACAGAACAATGAGTGCATTCAGGAGATATAACCAGAGTTGGCCAGCGTTCGTACATGTTAATGATTCGAATGTCTACTAACAGCTATTTGCTTGATGTGAAATATGTAGCCAAAAGGACTACTTTTGTATAATACTCGTGTCAAGGGTGAGGCAGATAGGAAGTAGTGAAAAATAAAAATGTGAATTAAGCTTCTGCCGTTGTCCATTGTTTGAGCAGTGTCTTTAATGACTGTTCACCATTGGCAAAAAAAAAGTATTATTAATCTGTCATCCTAAGCATAACAATTTTATGAGGGTCTATCAAAAAGTAAGGGCCGTTTGGTTCCAAGCAAGTAAATATTCATTAGTAAAAGTTTGTATTGGTAGGCTTGGTTTAGCGAAACCTACTTCACTTTTCTACAGAATCACAGCTAAAGTGTTAGCATTTTTTGAACCGTCACACTAGTTGCATAAAAGATCACCACCTGGTAATTAAACCTGTTGAGAACGGTGGTCTATAACTTCTGTCTTCAAATCGTTTCATGTGAAAAAAAAGAGGAAATATTCGCGTGGGTGCTGGCTCGGGACAGTAGGGCGAGCAATTTGTGTTCCCTACCAAAATATTTGATTTTCCTATTGGTTCTGATTGTGGCGCAAGGTTTCACGTTGTCATGCAGGAGGCTGATTCTGGATGAGAGTTTGTGACGTCATCAATGTTTATCGTACTTTTTAGCATTTTTGGAACCTAGCTTGGTGATATCTGAGCATATCAGCTACAATTATGCAAATTGTAGTGAGGCCAACCAGGGGATCTTTGTTTTACAGACCACTAACTGTTAGTCTTCAATCTATTGCAATATCCTATCCCCTTAAACAGTTAGGTTGGTCTGGATTCTTGGCGTGGTGCTCCACTTCCTTGTCGTACACATTTGTGCAGTCATTTTGGAAGTCTCAACCCCGTTTTCTGACAATTCTTTCACTCCTCATAGTTGGTCCATGAACTAGGCACAACTCCCCGAAAATTAGAAAAGCTAGCGATAACTTTGCATGCAAAAATGTAAATATAATGTGCACCTCACATTACAGGCGGAAGCAACAATATTTGCCAACATTATTGCCTGCGTTCAGCGGCAAGCAGATGGCTACTGAGCCAGAACAATCACTTCAGTACTTTCGCTCAAATGTAGAAGATTGAGCTGGATAATAAAACTGTGTGGACATACACAAATCTAAACAGACTGTTTTGGCTAGAGCTTGCTAAGGCACGTGACAGGTCACCCCGAAAAGAAGACAAGCCCAAGAGTTGGTGGGATGAGGAAGTTAAGAGAGCCATAGCAAAATGTCAGGAAGCCTCTAGGGAACACAGACATGCTAAGCAACGGGGTGAACCGACAGATGATGTTGAAAGAAAATGGGAAACCTTTCTAAGCTGTAGAAAGGATGCATCCCTTCTGATCAATGAAAAGATCAGTAGAAAGGGAGCTCAGTGGCTGGAAGAAGTACAAAAGAAAGAAAGGCAGCTGCGAAATTTCGAAACCATCTAAACTCCCTAAAAAATGAGACGAGCCTAGAGCAGAGGTTTATAACTACAGCTCAAGGTACTAGGCTAGAAGGGGATGAAGCTATTGAATATATAAGAGCAAGGGTGGCAGAAAAATTTCAACAAAGAAGTGCCTTATGCACGACAATAGAAAAGGATGGATCAAGTGGCACAATGACTCCATTTTCACAACGAGAGTGGGAAAGGGTTGAGAAGAGGGTTTTAAGTACGTAGTACATCAACAGGCCCAGATGGCATTCCAATTATGCTGATAAAGACATTGGGTCTGAAGTCTAAACAGACTTTGAGAGAGGCGGTGAGCAGAACAATAATCTATGGTGAGGTCCCTGATGGATGGAAACTTAGCAGGATGAGCATGATCTATAAAGGAAAGGGAGGCAAAGCTGACATAACTACCGTCCTATAACAGTGACATCAGTGGTCTATAAGGTGGCGATGCAGATTATAAAAGAAAGACTGAAGGCATGGATAGAGAATGAGGGGGTGCTGGGGGAACTGCAGAATGGGTTTCGGAAACACAGGAGGTTGGAAGACAATGTGTTCTCACTGACGGAGTGCATTGAAAAATTAGAAAAGGAACTCGGGGCCCCTGTGGCTAGCATTTTTGGATATCAAGGGAGCGTGCGATAGCGTGGTTCAAGAGGACTGGTGGGGAATACTAGACACCCTGGGTGTGGAAGATGGAGTCACTAATCTTTTAAAGAATATCTATAAAAGTAACAAGGTAGTTATA